TGGAATTTGGTCCCCTCCCAGAGAAGGCAGTGAGCAGCAGCTGTCCCTTGGTGGCGTTGAATCCTTAGGAGAAGTCTCATGAGCATTGAGGGGCTGGGAAAAAAAAATACTAGAGAGCAAATAAATGGCAAGAGGAAGGACTTGGGGCTGAAAATATTGGTAGAAATGTCCTTAGTTACTTCTGACATCTGGTGACTAGGTAGAGAAGTTAGGTGACAAAGGCAAGAATATAAATTCCTGTTCAGTTAATAGGTAGACAGGAAAGGCTTCTTACTTCCACTGACCTCCCGGCTCTGGTTAATTTTGAAGGGCCACGCACAAATGACTCTAGGATCTGACATTTCTGCCATCCAAGCAGTGGCTTACTGCCTCTGGATGCTCCTCCATTGCTTTTGTCCCAGGAGTGTCTTCTCCACGCTGGGATAAATGCCTCATTGGCATTTCCCTTTAGCTGGTTGCTGGACTGGAACTCGGGGCCTGAGCACTGTCCCTCAGCTCTACAGCTTAAGGCTAGCACTCTGCCACTTTGAGTCCAAGACTCGGGGCTTGAATGCTGTCCCCTAACTCTTCAGTCCAGGGCTAGTACTCTGCCACTGTGAGTCTCCAGGTTGGGGCTTGAGTACTGTCCCCCGACTCTTTAGTCCAGGGCTAGTACTCTGCTGGCTGAATAGAGGTGACAGTCTCACAGGAACCTTTTCGTGCCCGGGCTGGCTTTGAACCAGTTTGCAGATCAATGAGTCTTATAAAAGGCCTCTTTACTCCAATTAAAAGCAACAAGGTGGTCAACGTAGAAGTAGCTTTTAAGCATGCTCTTACCTGAAACTTATTAAGAGTCAAAGTTACATCTGACAAACTTGTAAGAATCTTCTGTGCTTTGCTCTGGACTTGCTGGAAACTTAAAAAACCTATAAGAGCAAACTAGAATAGCAATTATTTTGGTAATCCTAATTTTTCCTTTGTGCACATTGGGCCAATGTCAAGAACAATTTTACATTTAAACTTTATATCCAAAAATCCATTCCTAATTTTTTAAACCTCTTATAATCACCTTTAATATTTTATGCTTTAGTTTTCATTTGCATTTTGAAAAGATCCCTTGAAATCTTGAAGCCAAGTGTCACTCATTGCCTCTTGGTTGCTTGTTTTAAAACAGACACACATTGGGGCTGGGAAGGTGGCTCAGTGGTAGAGTGCTTGCCTTGCATGCATGAGGCCCTGGGTTCGATTCCTCAGCACCACATAAGCAGAAAAAGCTGCAAGTGGTGCTGTGGCTCAAGTGGTAGAGCACTAGCCTTGAGCTGCAGAGCTGAGGGACAGTGCCCAGGCCCAGAGTTCAGGCACCATGACTGGCAAAAAAAAAGAAAAAAAAAAAACAGACACACATTAAAAATTTTAAACTCAAATGACAATTTTTTCCTTAATGCGAAAATAACAATCATCATAACTGAACCAAAAAACTAGACTTAGCGTCTTTATGACTTTTAAAACATCCTAATTGTAAAACATTAAAAACAAGTCACATTATACAAATAACTTTTTTAACCCTTTTTAAGGCCTTCCTAATTTTAATGTTAACACATCCAAGGGGAAGTTTTAGCAATACTAATCCGATCATCACATCACTCATTTTAACCATCATGTTTTCAGTCTCTATCTGCAGGGAAGAACAACGATGGGCCACTCAGCCCCTTCTATGGAATGGGCACGCACCCAATCCGACTCTTTAGGGTTAGATGAACTGCGTTTGTGTCAGCTTGCCCTCTTTCACCATGCGTGGACTCCTCCCAGGGCCTGTCCCACCATGCATGACCAGCTGAACTGCACTTCCTCTTGAACATTGTTAGCCCCTCCATTGTTTTCCCCCTACCATCCCCTCCCTCCCTCCCTTCCCCGAAGTTTTTTTTTTTGTGATTAAGTGATTACATAGTTTCTAAGTCACAAGTTCATTCTAACTTTCCTGGAGCAAACTGTCTATCACAGTCTGTAATATATAACAGTGTTCACATGTTATACACCATACATGTGATCAGCAGCATGGGGATATTTAGTAGTGGTCAATGTGAAGATTTTTTAAAAATTTTTGGTAATGTCCAAAACCTCATAACCTTTTGAATTTTTAAATTTAAACTCACCCAATTGTTTCAGCATGCTGACAATTCTTATCTTTGAACATGTTCACAGATACACACAAAACACACACACAGATCTTAAAGCACGCAAAAATCAAAATCAGTCGTACTACACCTAATTCACTAATTAGTCTTTTGAATCCCTTCTGTTGGAGGAGGGCTGGGGGAGGGGGTCACCTAAAACTAAACTGGCCAGATTTTTTATCCCATTTTAGACAAGAACACTTTACAAATTGTTTCATTGTCAGGACTAGCTGAAAAAGTCCCAACCAGGCACACAGCCTTCTACACCCTGCCTGCTGGCAGCCCCCACAAGGAGAAAATGCGCCTGAGGCTTGAAGGGAACCAAACTAGCCCAAATGATCTAATTGTTTCTTACTCTCTTGGGGAGGGGCTGAGAGGTTGCCCCTCTGTCGGTTTTTTGTTTCCTCTTGAAGAGGAGCTCCGTCTTTATGGAACTTAGATTTGCATTCACTTTCCAATGGTTCCTTTTCCTGCGGGAACCCGGGATTAGTTTGCTCTCCCACTGCTGCTGTGGGGCTTTAGTGCCTCGTGCTTTTAGCCTATGTTTTAAAATAGAGACAAACTATCCTTATTCTTAGAAGATGAACTCCCATGATTTACTCGTTTTATCTTTCCCAGCCGCAGCTGAGGGGCCTGCAGCACCCCAACGAGTATTAGACTAACTATTCCAGGTGAAAAGAGAAAGATAGTTAGCTCCCAAGGTTCCTTGATTGAAGAGACTGCTTCGTGCCCCACGTTGGGCGCCACCTGCGCGGACCGGCTCTGCGGGACGACGGAGGACACCTAGTGGAGGAACTGGAACCGATGGGGAGATGGCACTCAGCGTCCACTCCTCGCCATCCCCACCTATTCCAGGTCCTCCCCTAGGTGTCCTCCGTCGTCCCGACAGAGCTTCACCGCTGTTGCCAATCCTGGGGCTTGAACTCAGGGCCTGGGCGCTGTACCGGGCTTTGTGCTCAAGGCTAGTGCTCTACCACTTGATCCGCAGCGTCACTTCTGGCTTTTTCAGTGTAGGTGGTGCTGAGGAATGGAGCCCAGGGCTTCGTGCATGCTAGGCGAGCGCTGTACCGCTGAGCCCCCAGCCAGTGTTGACAGCAGGCTGCCGGCCCCTGACCCAGCCCCCAGGGAGCACTGTCCCTCAGTTTCCCTGCCCTGGTTGCACTGGCACCAGCCCTGTCCTGGGAGGAGCACAGCTCCCCAGGTCAGCTGACTCCAGCCTTGGCTACCTACCCACACGCTCAGTGCCACGGCCCCTCCCCAGCCAGGGTGCCCCATCGCAAAGTGGGGGGCTCCTGGACGCACCCAGAAAGCCACGGCCCAAGCCCTTGACTGAGGCCTTTAAGTCTTTGCTCTCTGGGCACGTTGCTGGGCGCTTCCTGCTCTCCCCCGCCTGGCGCCCTGAGCAGCGGCAGCTGCTCTGCTCTTCCCAGGGGCCTGGGTCGCCTCCCTGTTCGCCTTGCACCAGGCTGGAGTCAGCTGACTCACAAGCCACGCGGTCCCAGTGTGCATGTCCAGGTTGGTTGATTTTAGGTGTGTCTGGTCTGCCATCAGATCACAGACAGGCACAAAGAAACTCCTCATGCACATAGGTGGCCGCTGACGAGCACTGGAGCCCCGGCCCTGAGAGCAGCCTGTAGTAATGGCCTCAAAGGCCCACAGCCAAGGCTGGACCCCACACAGGCTTCCCTGGGACTGGCCGGGCCCCTCTGCTGTGGGGGTCTGGGAGCATCACATGGGCAGCTGGTCCAGCTTTAAGTGACAAGTCCCTAAGTGTCCCAGCATCTCAATGTGTCCCTGGCACAACATGGCCGCCTCGGGGCGATGGCCTCTGCTGGCTGGACTCCAGGCCAATCTAGGCCTGACAGGGACCCGTGCTCAAGAAGGCACTTAAGCCGGGTGCCCGCTTCATGCCTATAACACCAGCTATTCAGGAGGATCGCAGTTCAAAGCCAGCCCGGGCAGGAAAGTCCCCATGGGACTCATCTCCACTCAACCACTCAAAAAAAACAAAAATTGCACTCAAAGTGGTAGAGCACTAGCCTTGAGCAAAAGCTAAGACAACGCCCAGGCCCTGAGTTCAAGCCCCATTAACGACAAAAAAAAAGGCCCTTAGGGGTCAGAGACAGTGCCAAACCCTCCTGTCCACCCGCACCCCACCGTGTCCACCCGCGCCCCACCGTGTGTGCCCGCGCCCCACCGTGTCCGCCCGCGCCCCACCGTGTCCGCCCGCGCCCCACCGTGTACACCCGCGCCCCACCGTGTGTACCCGCGCCCCACCGTGTCCGCCCGCGCCCCACCGTGTACACCTGGAGCACTGCCTCTTGTAGTAGTTGGCCAGGTGGGGCCAGCCAGCCAGTGTCCCTCCTCTTGCTGCCTGTCCAGTCTTGCCCAGTCCTGGACTTTATGCAGCACAAGGCTGCCTGTCCACAACCCCACCCTGCCCACCCTGCCCCACCTCCTGACCCCCCACTGTTTTTTGTTGGTGGTGGCATCGGTTGTAGGGCTTGAACTCTGGGCCTGGGCGCTGTCCCTCAGCTCTTCAACTCAAAATGAGTGCTCTACCACTTGAGCTACAGCGCCACTTCCAGTTTTCTGGCGGTTTATTGGAGATAGGAGTCTCATGGACTTTGCTGCCTGGGCTGGCTTGGGACCTCGATCCTCAGATCTCAGCCTCCTGAGTAGCTAGGATGATAGGCGTGAGCCACTGTGCCCGACTCTGATCCCACCTCACAGGGTCCCCCCTGGCTAGTGCCCAGTTCCTGCATGCGACACCCACTTGTCATGGACTGGAGAGAAGAAAAATCACAACCATGGCCACAGGCGGAGGGCGGGAGGCCTGACAGGGACATGCGGGTTGGGGAGGCCTGCGTCCTCATCGCCAGCTAACCTGGGTCTGGAAACGGAGTCCCCACCTGGGACTCAGTGGATTGGCTGTGGGCTTGGCTTCCGCACAGTGAGTCCCCCTACCTGAGAGCAGGCCTGCATCAGGGGTTTGACCGCAGGGCGCACCCCCGCATTTTCATGGGGGGACACACAGCAGAGCAGCCAACAGCTCCTCAGACCTGGCCTGGGCTGGGCGTCCTGGGGACAAGGCCCTCTGGCTCGGGTGGCCAGGGATCCAGGAAGCCAAGGACCCTCCCAGGATGACATTTAAATCCACACTTTCAAAATGTCAGCTGTCTCCTTTCCAGGAAACAAAGGCACCCAGCCCGTGGCAGCCCACCATCCTGACTCCGGCTGCGGAGGTTGGCAGGCCTGTGTCCTCAGCGCCTCAGCCGTGACCGCCGCCTCCTTCCCAGGCCTTGAAGCCCTTGCCCCGTATTTGTTTTTCTTTGTGCTGGGGCTTAAGCTCAGAGCCCGGCCCGACTCCTCACCTCTCCCCTCTACCACTTAAACCACAGCTCCACTGCTGTTTTCTGGTTAAGTGGAGAAAAGAGTCTCACAAACATTTTTGCCCAAGCTGGCTTTGAACCATGATTCTCGGGTCTTAGCCACCAGCACCTGACAAAGCATGCACATTAAATAACACACAGGAGCCCCACAGAGACAGGTGGACGCGGCCCACCGTCTCCTGCCTGCACAGGGCCAGACCTGATCATTGGAGGCATCCATGCCCAAGACGGCTGGCAGAGGGGGCAGGCATAAGTCAAGGCCAGCCGCCAATCCCGGGGCCAGCAGACCCAAGCAAGAATGGCACAAAACTGGTTCCCAGTGCCAAGCTGCTGATGGGTGCTCAGGCTGATTGCTAGACAAGGCCAGGGCCGTGGCTCTGTGCAGGAGCTCTACTGGGCAGGGAGAGGCCATCCCAGAGGCCTGGGCTGTGAGTTGGGGTGGGATGGGGCTGTAGGTCTGCACAGCTACAAGGAAGTCATGGCCGGGTTCCCCCCCCCCGTGGCTCAGGTGATAAGAGCCGCACAGCCCGGCTCTGCAGACACAGCCCTGGGGTTGGCACAGGGGTGCCCGCGGCCACGCCCCTCAGCCACGGTGAGCAGAGGCTGTGGGCTCCCTGCCCAGGAGGCTGCTGGGACACCCCCAAATCTGAGGAGCTGCCTAGGAGCCTGGACACGCTGAGGCCTTTGTCCTGAGGCCTCAGTTTCTCCATGCGTAGGGACGGCTGGGCCCCCACCTCCCCACTGGACACAGGCAAACGGGGAGGAAGCTGGGCCCTGGCTGGGCAGCCTGACGCCGCCCTGGGTCTTCCCCAGCGTCCCCCTGGCTTCCTGCTCTTAGCATGCTCCCTGCCGGCCCGGCCCGCCGAAGCCCTGCACGCTCGGGGCCCCTCGGGGCCACGGGACCCCACGCTGCTACTCCGAGGAGGATCTTCCCCACGGCCGGGCCCCCCCACATCTGCTGGCTCGAAGTGCCAAGTGGGAGCGGGCCTTGCCCGTGGCCCCAGTGTCCAGCCTGGCAGCAGAGGGCGGCGGGAGGCAGCTTGCACCGCCGGGGCCGGGACGCAGTGCCCGCGCTCAGCCCGCTGAGATGCTGCTGGCGGACACCCACTGCGCCCCATCTCTCCCTGCAGACCCGTGGGTAAGGGCACGGCGCTTTCTGGAGCTCTCACCGGCCAGAACCCCAGCCCACCCTCGGGAAGATGGGGTGTGGCCAGGATCAACCTTATCTGGGACCTTGTTAACCAGGACCCCCTCACAGAGCCCTCCGGGGGCAGCGCAGCGAGCCCAGGGCCTGGGGGGAGGAAGGGCTGGCTCACCCCCTTCCCCTCCCCACAGCATCGACACCGACGAAAACCGCTACCCGCAAAAGCTGGCGGTGGCCGAGTGCCTGTGCCAGGGCTGCATCTGCGCCAGGACTGGCCGCGAGACACCAGCGCTCAGCTCGGTCCGGCTGCACCAGAGCCTGCTGGTCCTGCGGCGCGCGGCGCCGGCCCTGCACCCCAGTGGGCGCCGTGGGGGGGCAGCCCCCCTCCCCCACACCCAGGGCCTTCACCTTCCACGCCGTTTATCTGCGTGCCTGTGGGCTGCACCTGTGTCCTGCCCCGGTCAGCGTGGTGACCACCGGCCACCAGCCCGGTGGAGTCACACAGCGTCTCCAGACCCCACATACTGGGGCGCCTTAAGAAGACCCCTATTGATTCGTTATTTATTGCTACTTAAGCACCCGAGGCCCAGCTGGGCTGCGCCCACCCGCCCGCATCTCCCGCCTCCCAGGGCCGCCTCCAGGCAGCGGCTACCAGGAGGCCCAGCACCTGTGTGTCTGAGGAGTTACCTGTGGCTCTCCAGCCTGTTTACCTTTTACTGGAGGAGAAGGCTGGCTACAGAGCACTTGCTTTCTCTCCTCAAAGTTCTTAGAACCGTGGCAAGAAAAAAACTGAGGGGCCCCAAGGACTGGGAACCTACTTACACCTGGATTATGCCCAGAACCCCACAGACAACTGACTGCGCCCAGGACCCTACTTACACCTGGACTGGGCCCGGGACCCCACACACCTGGGCCGGGCCCGGGACCCCTCTGCCTCCCCTCAGTTGTAGGTCCCAGGCTGGTCCCACCTCAGGCTTTCTCAGTCACCCCAGAAAGAAAAAAGCAGCTTTTTCTTTTGCAGGTCTTGAGTCTTGAATGCTGGGCCTGGGCGCTGTCCCTGAGCTGTGTTTTGCTAAGGCTAGAGCTCTACCACTTGAGCCACAGCACCACTTTCCAGCTTTTTTCTGAGTAGTTTATTGGAGATGAGAATCATACAGACTTTCCTGCTCTTCTGGCTTCAAACTGCAATCCTCAGATCTCGGCCTCCTGAGTAGATTTCAGGTGTGAACCAGTAGTTAAGATTACAGGCGTGGCTGGGCGCTGGTGGCTCACACCTGTAATCCTAGCTACTCAGGAGGCTGAGATCTGAGGATCGCGGTTCAAAGCCAGCCCGGGCAGGAGAGACTGTGAGACT